TGCAGGCTTTAGCTTGGCACTGGCAAACCACCTGATTGGGCGTAATGTGTCACGGCTTATGTTCAAATGCGAAATCCAGCGATGGGTTACTCGTTCCTTGACGTCCACTCTAGGTCTGAGTGTACGATACATCTATTTTACCGAGAGTGAGGTGTCTGCATGTGGGTTCTTTCCCCTTTGGGAGTGGATGTCCAGACCCATGCAGCTGGGTCAAAAGCGAGATTTGCCAGGAGGATCTAAGGGCTGATAAGCTATCCAGCGTTCGCTGTCCCTGACAAACCAAATCCTATGCACTTGGGATCGATCAACCCAGATAATGCACTTGGGATCGATCAACCCAGACAGCCTCCCTGTGATCTTCACAATGGGCCTCACTCCTCTACACAGCATGTATCTGGATTCTGGGCCTGTAAGAGGTCCTATATATTCACAATGTTCGATCGGTCCAAATGCATCTGGTCTAGCTGGCAGTCTAGATCCCTGCCAAATGTCGAGTAGTGGAATGAGGCCCAATGTCTGGCTTTTTTATTATTATTATTATTTTATTTTTTTTAAACCACCACTACCTGGGCCTCGTTTTCACATTGTGGGGTACCCGATCCTTTAGGAAGCCGAAATGAAACGACAGTCGCTGACGAGTTTTATCAATGGTGGCCATCGTCAGGCCAGGCCTCAAAATTTTTAGGGGTAGGATATTTTGAATTATTTTCCCTATCCCCAACAGTGGGAAACTTAAGGTAGTACTAGATTAAAGCTCCGATCTATCGTGGGAAGCAGCACGAGCTGGGAACCGGGCCCAGCGTCCCCAATAATAATTTTACAATAATGAACATTTGATGATAGTCTGATGATGATTCGATGATGATGATGATGTATCCCCCGCAGCCACAGCGGCCAGGTGGGGTCGAGGCTGCGACCCTGTGGTCATGACCGTGGGTCGTGGTCCTGAAAAAAAAAAAAAAAAAAAAAATCTCGAAAAAAAATATATGTTATGCAGAAAAATAAACTGAACAACGTTTGCCTTATGGTCATATCCAGAAACTTTACGAAATTTGAAGAAAAAAAAAAACGTTCCATCATTTCTCTTACCCAAAAAAAAAAGACAGCTTTTGCCTCAGGATTTTTTTTTTATTTTTATTTTTTGAAAACAACATGCTCCAGTCTATTTGTGGGGAGCAGCACGAGCTGGGAACCGGGCCCAGCGTCCCATATCGAATTGTACAGATCATTGAGAACAATTGAGATCATTTGAGATACCGGGGCCATTACCTGGCTTCGGCTGAGAACAGTCTGTGAATACGATGTGATTCAGAAAGCATGGGGAGGATCATGCATATCTAATGACCTATTAATGAACTACTCATGCAATAGGTTGCCACAGAGGTCCTACGAATGCTCACAACCCTCAGGATCCCTAACAAACCCTTTTCCAGCACAGTCTTACTCCCTTCTGAGCTCTTCCAGGCCTCACGCCCTCACCCTGCTGGGTTACAGGGCAACACAACTCGCCCCAGCTCCGACCAGCGTCGTCCCAGCAGCAACCCTTGGTTGTCCCTTGGGATGCCCACCCCAAAGCATCCCCAGATCTCTCTACCAGGCCTCACACTCCTGCATCAGCAGGTTACAGGGCAACACCCCAGCACCGGCCAGCATCGTTCTGGCATCAAACAGCCGCAGATCACTGAGTATAACAGCATCGAAACCGCCTAACAACCGACTGTTTTTCCACTATTCAGACTCTACCAAGGCACTAGAATATGTGTGTCAAAAAGCCTCCCAACCACGAATCAGATAGGTGAAACCTATTCAATCCACCTACGACCACCACCAGCATGGCTGTTTTCAGCATGAACCGAAGCTCTTCCAGGCCTCATGCTCCCATCAGGTTAGGTTACAGAGTTGCACCACCTTGCTCCAGCACCGGCCAGCATTGCTCCAGTTACGACCCCCGATGACCACTGAGACTGCCCCCGCAAACAGCCCCCCAGAGCTCTCTACCAGGCCTCACGCCCCCACTAAGCTAGGTCACAGAGTTGCGCCACCTGGCTCCGGCTCCGGCCAGCGTTGCTCCAGCATCGGTCTTCGAGGGCCACCAAATTTTCGACCACCCTTCGCAGGGTCACAGATGAATTGCCAGATAGCACCTATTCCTACAACCCCCTCGAGAGGCAAACCAAATGGAAAGAAAGAGTAACTTAAAGCTGGATGATAGACTTCTTCGAGAGAGATCGCCCTCCC